CGGATCTCTTTCAATCACGCAGAGGGGACAACATATGACTAACAAAGATAGAGGGTTATAGAGATAGTAGGGTGCATATGTTGTGTCCCAGGTCAGATCTTCCGATCACGCACAGGGGACAGCATATGGCTAACAGATAATAATAATTTCATAGATAAGGAGGTACGTAGAAATAGAGTTGCATATGTTGCATTCCAGGTCGGATCTCTTCCAATCACGCAGAGGAAGCAACATATGACTGACAGATAGAAAGCAAGAAAATAATTTCCTGCATACCTACTTTATCAGAACCCCCTAGTCGCCCTATCAGAACCAGAATTAAGGACATAAATCTCTACATCAAGGAAAAGTTAAGCCACAGTTCTAGATGCGTATTAATTTAGTGTAACCCGTGGGTTCCTATGTTTATCTCACTGCTCAATCTACCTGAGCGTTGTATGGTCGGTCCAAACGATCCTATCTAAATCCACATTGTCAAATCCTTCATGCCTACCAGCATATCGAACACAGAGTCTAGACAATTCAGATTCAGTACGTTACACTGGTTAAGACTGCCCGTTATCACTTTATCTTGATATCACTTCCCTATAAACATATAAGAAAATAAAATTTGTCTAAAAAAATTGTATTCAAAACGAATCAGTTTAAAATAAACTCAGGAGTATAGAGAAGAAAACTCAAACCGTAAGTCACCGATTGAATTTGCATCCAGAAGGTCTGAGAACAACACGCATAATCTCAGAACAGATCCGAAAATTCTTCACATCGTTAAGGACTAACCCCATGAGTGATCCCTTCCTTTCTTCCTTTACAGCAAAGGACACATACTCTCAAACAAAGTTCTGAATGTTGTACATTTGAGAGATGCCTCCTATCATGTGCGTGGAACAGCCACTATCAACAAACCGAAGTCTGATGATATGCCTCTATAGCTGCTCCGACACAGGGCGGGATCAGTTGGTCTTAGGAGCCCAGTCCATTTTGAAACTGGATTGACCTTTGTCATCTTTGCAAGGTACTCTCTCCCAGGACATATCCTGCTTATCACAAACAGAAGATGTAGAAAAATACATTTTGCTAGAAAAGTATCACATGATTGAAAAATATGGTAAACACAACCGCGAACACATATTACATGACTGAAAAATACATTTTGCTAGAAAAGTAAAGTATAAACCAATATTTTTGACCCAACAGATAAAGAGAACCTTATACAATATCGTAATCATGCACTCACATACAGAATTGCTGACAAAATATTTTCACAGGTTTGTGTTTCTTAATCTTTTTTCTTTTTGTTTCGTTTCTGATGCTTTTCTTTTTAATTCTCCATGAATGTCTCATTCTCTCAGGTACCCAGAAAGTTTACCTGTAATGTTGAAGGAAAAATGGGATATGAAGATTTTGTTTATTTCATTTTATCCGAAGAAGATAAATCATCAGAGCCGATTCTGGAAGACTGGTACTACTATACTTACCTTTCTTCATGATTGATTAGATTTAAATTTAGTCATTTAGTCATTTATTAATAAGTTTTGTTTGATTTGATTTCAGGTTCAAGTGTGTAGATTTAAATGCAAACGGTGTGATTACAAGGAATGAAATGCAATTCTTCTATGAAGAACAGTTGCATCGAATGGAATGCATGTCCCAAGAGCCTGTTCTTTTTGAAGATATTTTGTGTCAAATAGTCGACATGATTGGACCAAAGGCAATGAATAAACTACTGTTAATTTTTTTTTCATGAGTATTTTAATACTAATAATATGGTTTGGTGTTTATTTGGTGTTGTAGGAGGAAGGGTATCTTACACTAGGTGACATGAAAAGAAGCAAACTTGCAGGAAGTGTTTTCAATATCAGGGGAAAACTTGCAGGAACTTCATATAGAACAAGGACCAATTTTGGAAAATGAAGGAATTTCTATTGGTATTGTGACTGCTATTGCTGCTCCTACAAGCATTAAAGTTGATTTTGGAGGAAATGGAGGCCATGCTCGAGCTGCTTTAATGCCACAAAGGTATAAAATAAACAATTCTTTATAAAGGTATTGTGACTGCTATTGCTGCTCCTACAAGCATTAAAGTTGATTTTGGAGGAAATGGAGGCCATGCTCGAGCTGCTTTAATGCCACAAAGGTATAAAATAAACAATTCTTTATAACTTTTGTTTATTATTATTATCTTATTTGTGTGATATATTTGAGTCGTATACAGAATTTTGGAATAGAAATGATGCAGGTTTGGCTGCTGCTGAGCTGGCACTAGCTGTGGAAAAACATGTTCTTGAATCTGGATCCATAGACACTATTGCAACTATTGGTAAGCTTTTTTTTTTAAAATCACTTTCATTATCATTTATCCTTAAAATGTTGTTTTTGTTGAAGGTATACTGGAGTTTTATCCTGTAGCAATCAACAACATCCCTAGCAAAGCACACATGGAAATAGGTGCACTTATTATAATACACCACAAAAATTCAAAAACTAATAAGAAACTTAAAATATTACTAAAATAATTTTATAATCTGTTTTCAGATACACGAGACATTGATCAAAACCGAAGAAATAATATGATTGAAAAAATCCATGAATCTTCTCTTTTTTTTGCTATCTTCTCTCCTTTTTGTTGCTCTTTCGGGTATTCGACAACAGTGTGATTTTTCACTTCGAAATTGAGAACAGTGGTGTAGTTGGTTAACTCTTATTCTCAAATTGAAACGAGGTTTTATTTTTTGATTTTGTAGATTTACACAACTCCGGTTTCGAAATGGAAGTCTCTGAAAAATAGGAGATTGCAAAATTGGGGTATGACATTGTTGTTATCTATGAACTTGTTAATTTGGAGGTTAAAATATATGCAAGTGAGCTGTATACCGGAGCCAACAGAACTCCCGCCAGCTGCCAGAGTTTCACTACTGCAAGGTCTGCAGGATGCTCAGCCCCCGCCAGCTGCAGTTGTTCCTCCAAGTGGACCAAATTCAAACCCTTTGCATCTCTTCCCTCAGGTATTCAATATTTTTCTTCTCTTTCAGATTGAAAATTTTCGTTTTAGACCGTGTAGATTGTAACCTTGTCATGTTTGGTCCAGAGACTTCCTGACATGGACGCAAATGGTCCTGCTGGTAACTTGGATTTTCTTCGTAACAGTGCACAGGTATTTATTTATTTATAAACTAGTCAACCATATCTACATATACATTAATTATTAATTATCTCAATAAAATAAAAATATAATTTATATTTGTGTTCCTGTTTCAAGCACTTCGAGCCATGGTGCAAGCTAATCCCCAAATCTTGCAGGTATTTCATAAATACAAATCATAATACTTCTCAAAGACATAAAGGGTAGTTTTTCTTTTATCTCATTTCTTATGATTTACAGGAATGTTTTGATTCAGAACAATTTCAAGGTCATCATTCAGATGAGGTAATAATATCATCTGTTCTTACAATTTTAGTTATTTAGTTTCATGTTTTTTTTCTCTTTTATCTCATTTCTTATGGTTTATACGTAAGTTGGGATGCTGGATCTAACAATGATTGGAACATTGGGATGCTTGAAGAGTTGTGTGATAATCATAATA